ATATACACACATATATATACACACCTCTGAGCCATCAGAAACTTTATACCTCCTCCTGCCCTCCCAATCCTAAAGCCATTTTGTCAAGTGGGGTTAGATGACAGACTGACCTAGTTTGACCTCTGCGTTCTCAGTCAGCAGGACGTTCTGTCCCTTGATGTCTCTGTGGATGACCTTGTGCTGATGGAGATGAGTCAGACCCTGCAGACAGTGACAGAGACGCACAGTGAAGGAATGCCACTGCAGCGATGAGCCAAGTCATGATTTATTATTATTATAAAAAGAGCTAATTTCCGAAAGTAAGTGTCCTTGAGCAGGACGAGCAGCTCCAGGATTGCTACTAGGTAGCTGACCTTGACCCTTGACTTCCTTCTTTAAAAGAAAAATGCTTGTTGCAAGAGCAACAGCAGAAGGACTATCAAGTCCTATTAGTAGTTTTAGTGGTCCTAGAAGTAGTTATTGTAGAACCTAAAGGTCATTATTCATTATTTATATCAAAGCTTGTAAATGTTTTGTTAGGAAAATTAACAAACCAGTAATCCAATATATAAAAAGAACAAACATTTAAAATTGTGATATTAAGCATATTATCTCTAATCAATCAAATAGAATTTGACAATTAAATGCATGAGATGGTCCTTCTTGCTAGCATAATTAAATTTACCAATATTTTTTGTATATTAAATCTAAACACTTAACATTTACAAACATTAATGTGTCAGGTAGTTCTGCTTTGAAAGTTTAATAATTCTTATTTTAGTGAGGCTTCTTGTATTGACAGTAAAGCGATGGAAATAACAAGAAAAACAGGAATTGTGAAATAATTGTGAGAATGGGATGAAAGAAAAAAAGTGGATGAAAGGGAACCATTGTTGCCTCAATTCAAAATATCACTGCGTATAACTGACAAGATGCTGTGATATTGCTGCTCTATATATATATATACACACAATACCAGATAGTAGTGCAGAGATAAGATGTGGGTGAATGAGTCAGATTGAATTCATTCCTTCACACCACTCCAAAAACACAGATATCATGGAGCACAAACAACTGGTCATTGCCCTCAAAGAGCAGGTCTGTTACAAAATACTGATTAACTCTAATACGATGATAAAAGGGTATAAAATGATTACATTAAATAAGAAGTAAATGAAAATTCTTCAATCAATATTTGAAAAACAATATAGGGGGAGACTTTCAAAAGAAGAGTACAATTTTAAAACTAAGGAATTATGGATTATTTTTTCAAGTGAAAAGTTATTTTCCTTGATCATGCAATAATGTCGTACCCATGGAGGACAGGTGTAGGATTTAAATAACAACACAACAATGATATTTTACAGATGTGACTTAGCAACTAGGCCACTTACCCTGAGAATTTCTCGGCAGATGTAAGCGGTCCACTCCTCTTTCAGAGAGTTGCCCTTGGTGTTCTTGATCAAGTCTGTCACTGAGCCGGCTCCACAGAACTCCATGACCAGCTACAAACATACAAGATTGATTATTCTGCAACTGTTCTGCAAATGAAGGCTATCTGGTCTAGGATCTATTCCAAACAAGCCAGTAACTCCCATAAAGCAACTTACTGAGGTCATACATACATTTATTTATTTATTTGTGTATTTATCACAGTACTTTGTGGAAATCTTTTCCTCCATTCAAATATATTTCTTTTTCTTTCCACTCATATCAAAGAACTACAGCCTGACCGATACAACTACAGACCTATACTATGCTTCAATATCAGGTTATCGCTGATGTAAGAATATTAATAGAATATTAATTGATTATATTTCAATAAATGTTACCACCCAAAATTGACTGTTTCTTATACCTACCATCACAGTCATCTTTGAAAACGGGGCTGCAACTAACGATTATTTTCATTATCGATTCATCTTTTCTAGAGTTACTGAGAAATTGTTTGGTCATTTTATGGCCCAATAAAACTGAAAAATGCCTGTTAGTATTTTCAAGAGGTCAAGGTAATATCATCCAACATCTTTTTTCAGAGCAGTCCCAAAAATCTAAATTTTTACTGTAATGTAAATGCAGCCACTTCTCCAATTTGAGAAGCTGGTAGTGTCCAATGTTTTGTTTTTTAGTTTGAAAAATGATGATTAAGCCATTATCAAATTAGTTGCTGATTAATTTTTGACTAATCGTTACAGTTTATTGTTCACCTGAGACGAATCTTAATCACAAAGAAATGTCATCTGATATATTGTTATTTGATTTATATTATTCCCAAGTATTGATATTGTTATCTGCTTCAAAAATCCAGTATCGGTCAGACTCTACAGAACCAAAAGTCATGGTAACACAATTCAATTTCATACACACACACACACACACACACACACACACACACACACACAGAATAAAAAGTGCTTTCTTCAAAATGATGCACATCATAAAGAAAATACACAGCACCCATAATCACATGACTCTTAACAAACTCCACAGAGGCCACAGAAACTAATGCATAAACTGACTCAATGGGGTCATGAGATCACATGAATGACTCAAGTCTGTCTCTTGACCCAAACACAATGTGTCCATTCTGTCCATCCCTCTCCTCTCTTCATCCTTAGCAGCCTCATTCCTTCACCCCCCCTCCTCTCCTCATTCATCCTTCCTAGCAATACATCCCTGCAGATATTCAGGCAAAGGTTCAGCGTCTCAATTTTGGCTCTACTTCAAGCTCCCCTCATCATCACTCTGGATTATAGGCTGAGAAGAAGTTGGCAAGTAATAGCTGACCCCTCTTATTCGGGCTGCACAAGTGTACTCATATATGCAAAGACAATAGAAACACACTAACATATGCATTAACATAAGGGGAGACATGTCAAAGCCTGCAAATATACAGCTCATGCTCATGTTGCACACTCACTAACACACACACACACACACACACACACAAGGAAAACAGGCAGCTGTTGAGTCGGGGGAATTATGCAGGCAGTAGATCTGGCTGCTGTGTGTGTATGCATATGGTTGTGTGTGTGTGTGTGTATCCTCCCATTGTTGTGTGATGAATGCTACAGGATCAGAGAAGAGAAAGCTCCCTTAGATCGCGTTAACACATGATTTATTGCAGCAGCCATCCAAGCCACACATTCATTCATATCCTTTACATCTTTCACACACACACACACACACACACACACACACATTAAGTATATATACATATTCCAATGCACACAAACCCGCAGTCACCAACTACACACTCACTTCTTTCACGTAAGTGTAACAGTGGAGAAATTGAAAAGTCACTTTTTTCTGTTCTCCGCTGTGTTTCTCTCAGAGACTGCAGCCATCTTCTCTTCGCATTCCACTCCATTTCACACACAGAGATGCATAGAGTTGCAAAATTGCAGACAAGAACATGCACAAATACACACAAATAATAGCGTACCCATAGCTGGTCGTCTATGCCAGGAGGGTTTTTCTTGACGAAAGCTCCGTAATAGGTGGCGATGTTCCGGTGGTGACTGTACTTCTTCAGCATGTTAATTTCCGCTTTAATCTCCTCTTCCTCATCCTGACACACAAGAAGAGAGAAATCAACAGGCATTAAACCACGACCTCTATTTGTGACCCCTCAGACATCTTAATAGGATGGTGATAGAGCCAAAGAAATGAAGCTGTTGATGGATTTGCATTTTGAATGCATTCCGAAAACTGTTGTAGCAAAGCACACAGCTGGGCTCTAAATATTCCACAATAACAGCATTACTTTTTAATTACTTTCGTTTTAGGGGGTTACTGCCACAAAGCCAAAAGCCGTTGTTTGAAACAAGTCGTTATGGTGGCAATTTCTTATTCATTATGCACAATGTCAGAAAATTATGCATTGATTACCTCAATTTAGTGTTCATCAGCCATGAAAACAAAAACACTTGTTTTAGTAAGCTGATTTTGTATAGTGGCGGCTCATTAAGTTAGCAATTTTGTGTTTCATTTAATCATTAATTAATGCAGCCATTCACTTTTATTGCATCTAAGCAGATTTATTCACACAGTCATTCACACACAGTTTCACTTATTTGTTCATTCATTGTTCACACTTCTGTTCCTTTCGTAATTTAAATTCATCCACACACACCTACATATATTCATTTCCTTGTTCATTCATTCATGCTCTTATTCATTGATTTATTCATTCATTCATTCATCAGTTCCTTTGTTGCTTCATTCCTGCAGTCCTCCATTGTTTTGCTGGCAGCTGAGTGCTGACAGGGAGGCGTAGGGTGAGAGGATCTCTAAATATAGCTGAGATTCCCTCCTGCTTTACAGACACGCCTGAGACCACACTGCTGTCCTAATACCTCCAGCTAATATTACCATGGCAATAGGACTGTCCTCATTTCCTCTCTGCCACATCACACACACACACACACGTACACGCCAGCACTGACTCATCGCTCATAATTAGATGACATGGTCGACGTTGGTATAATCACTTGAGATGATTTGCTGTGCGTGGGTTACGTGCGTGTGTGTGAGTATCTTACCCCGGTGACATCCATGACCTTGATGGCTGCCAGCTGCCCTGTCTTAACATGGCGACCCTGGTGAAAGGAGGAAAGGGGAGGGACAGTCAGAGACATGGGGAGACAGAGGAAAGAGGAAGGCGAGGAAGAAGAAATAAGAGAGAGAAAGTGTCAATGTCCATTTAACAGTTTACGGTTTTCTTTTTCTCTATCATTAAAACACTGCATTAAAAAGCATGTAGTAAAACATGACTTTCCAAAGGTAATCCAGCACAATAAGTAACAAATACAATATGTAACCTTGACTTTTTAAGAGTACTTGTGAACAGCTATTTTTCCCAAATTGATAGACAGGTCTTCAAATACAAGAACAACAGACAACTAAGTAATTAATTCAATTCAATTCAATTTATTTTGTAAGCGCCAATTCCATACGATGGAGTTAATCTCAGGACACTTTTCAAATAGAAAGGTCTAGACCGAACTCCTTAATTAATGTTTTCTAATGCTGCTACAGAACATGCAATATTCATGACTGAAACTTTGATTTGACTTGTAGTTGCACCATCGGTGCAACAAAATGTCAAACTGTCGTCAAATCCCTGTTGAATGCATCTAAGATATGCAAGGTGGAGAAACAAACAAGCAAAGACAGATACCAATCCACACAGTTCACTGTGTTGTGTAATATTGAGGCTAGTCAGATGCCCTGAGGGAGCCAGGAGGCGAGGAACCGGGAGATTGGAAGCTGAGGGGCGAATGGAAGGCCCAAGTGGTTCGTTTGCAACAGAGCATCTGTGGCTATGATTAGCTAATGAAGCTAACAGGGCTAGAGACGCTAAAACCACTGACGGCTATTACTTCCACCTGTCTGGACTCAACTGATTAGTATGTTACAGTCTGAGCAGAACTGCTTAGCAGCAGTGGCACAAACAAAGAAATACATACACACATAGTCAAGGACAGACAGACACACACACACACACACACAACAACACACACCACACACCACACACACACACACACACACACACAACACACACACAAACACACACACACACACCACACAACACCAAAACAAGGGCAGGACTGTTTTTCCTGGTGGAATTGTTATAAACCAGATGGCATTAATGGTCTGGCTCGAAAGCGCCTCCTGAGGGCTTTAATCGAAGGGCCGTTCTGATAATGAGCGTCACAGCCAAAACAGAGGCTAGGAATGCAACAATAAGAACAGAAACATATTATGGCTAAAAGTTGGTGGCTTCCTTGCCTTGCAATTCATTTGCAGGAGTGACTTAACAGTAACAGGACGGTCTCTGCAACCTGCCACTGGTCATTAGTCATTCTCACCGCTTCACATTTTATTTTTATGTCATTTTAACAGATCAATTCCACTCACAGGCTCAACAAAACTCAATTTACTTGACGAATAGCTTTTGAGTTGGAGATTATTCAATATGCACAGTTATTAACTGCAAAATAATAGGCAGCTCAATAGCTTACTGGTTCCTTTTATAAAGTAGCAAACTGGTCAGTGATCAGCATAATGATATGATTAAATCTGTATTAGGGCCAAAAAGTGATGTTTTCATTTACTGTGTTTAGACTGGAGTTCAAATTCCAAATTCAAAACTGATGAATAGAAAAAATAAATATATAAATATATATATTTTAAAAAATCAATATTATAATAATTAATCATTTCACTTGCATAATATATGCTTCACCACAATGTGTTTTAATTTGAGGTAGCAATAATGTTCTTAGAGCTGTATGTAGGAATAAAACTCACACACTGTACAATTGGTGCGGCGACTGGCAATATGTTAACATAAGCTTAGGTCCCTAAATGAGGGGAATTTAAAGCCATGAGTTAAATTTCTCATTAAACAGCTTGAATTAAAAGAACTTTTAAACTTGCTGATTTATTGCTAAAAAGTTTTTAATATGATAATTCATTATGTCACAATCCAGCACTGCACAATGCAAACTAAGCACCACTGGATGGTTGAACACTGTGATCAGTCTCTCTTTTTCATTTCTTTCTCTTTCACACACACACACACACACACACACACACACATCCACACATCCACACATCCACACACACACAGTCCAGATTCATGTGAGATAAAAGCTGAAAGAGTTGATGAACAGGGTTTCCATTTAGCGATCAAGAACTGCCTCCACATTCCATGAGGCACAAGGAACTGGCTTTGTTGGAGCCACAAAGGAATTATAGTCCACTACAAACCAGAAACCACACACTAGCACTTACAGACACCACCACAGCCATAATATGCAAGAGGTCATCCCTTTATTTCCACAATCCGTCACAGGAACAGAGAAGGAAGGAACTCTTGCAAACAACCCACACATGTGCACGCCCAGAGACAAGAAGAGTGAGGCGAGAGAGTATGAGCAAGAGAGGAATATATCAAATAGATATTGGACATGGAACATGCATCAGAGCTGGATAAGATTGCATTACTCTGAAGCCACCTGACACCGTCCCTCGTCTCCATATTTGCCCTCCGATTCCTGAGCAGTAATTGTCATCCGATCCTTTATTAAA